TCTAATACTAAACTTCCTTAGAGCTGACTTCTAGATTTACTTTTTTTTCCCATTCTGTTATATCTCCTCCCATAATCACATTCATTACCATGGTTTCAATGGCCAACTGTACACTCACAATTCCCAATTGTGTATCTCCAATCTAAATTTCTCCTCTGGAGGCCAGATTCATATATCTAGCAGCGTCCTAGATACCTCCACTTGTGTTTCACGGCTATCTCGAATATAATATGCCCCTAATTGCACTCTTGCAACTCACTTCCATCGAAAATCCTTCCCCTACATTCCTCATTTGATAAAATGGCAGCCTCATCTACTCCACTTACTTCACACCCACAGCCAACCACTACAAAGTCCCCTTGAATTCCACTTCTTTTTTAAAAAAATATTTTATTTATCTATTTGAGAGAGAGAGAGAGAGAGAGAGAGAGAGAGAGAGCACAAGAGTGAGCAAGTGCAAGTGGAGAGAGAGGAGATGAGGGGGAGGGGTAGAGGCCTGCAGGGTGGGGGGTGGGGATGGGAAGCAGGCTCCCAGCTGAGTAGGGAGTCCAATTCTGGGCTCTATCCCAGGACCCCAGGATCATGACCTGAGCTGAAGGCAGATGCCCAACTGACTGAACCATCCAGGCACCCCTTAACTTCCACTTCTTTTTTTATTTTTTTAAGATTTTATTTACTTATTTGACACAAAGAGAGAAAGACAGCACAAGCAGGGGGTGTAGCAGGCAGAGAGAGAGGGAGAAGCAGGCTCCCCACTGAGCAGGGAGCCCAATGACTCAGGTCTGGATCCCAATGGGCTAGATCCCAAAACCCTGGGAATATGACCCCAGCCAAAGGCTGACACTTAACCAACTGAGCCACCCACATGCCCCTCAAATTCCACTTCTTAAACATGTCACAGATGTATCTACTTCTCCATGTCTTCAGTGCCACCATCTTGGTTCAAACCATCCTCATTTCTATTTATTTATTTGTTTGTTTGTTTGTTTGTTTGTTTGTTTTGAGAGAGAGAGCACAAGACAGGGAGAGGGGCAGAGGGAGAGGGAAAGAATCTCAAGCAGACTCCCCACTGAGCACAGAGCCCAACTCGGGGCTCTATCTCACAAACTCATGATCAGGACCTGAGCCAACATCAAGAGTCTGATGCTCAACTGACTGAGCCACGCAGTGCCCTGCCATCCTCATTTCTACCTGGATGACTGAAATAGATCGCAGCATCTATTTTGGATCGCAGCATCTACTCTGACCCTGTCAAATCTATTCCGCTTGAATGCAGCCAGAATTATCTTTTCAAATGTAAATCTGACATGTCATCCCACTGTTATAATCCTGCTATGCCTCCTCATTGTCCTTGAGTGAAGCTCCAATATTATTCCTGACTTGGCCCCTGCCTCCCCTCCTAGGGTCAGTTCATTCCCTTTCCTTCTCACACAGTACACTTCTTTTGGAACCTGACCCTGCCCTGTGCTGTTTCCCCCAGCTTTTTTGCCCTCATCATCATCAATGCCTCAGAGCCTGACCAGCTTCTCTTCTTCATCAAAACATATCTTGCAGGGAGCCTGGGTGGCTCAGTCAGTTGAGCATCCAACTCTTGATTTTCACTGCATCATGATCTCAGGGTTGTGGAATTGAGCCCCGCATAGGGCTCTGCTCAGCACAGAATGTGCTTGGGAGTCTCTCCCTCTGCTTCTTCCCACCCCACCCTGCTTGAGCTGGCATAAGTGTGTGTGCATGCTCTGTCTCTCCCTCTCTCAAATAAATAAACAAACAAACAAACAAACAAATAATTTTAAAAGATTTATTTATTTATTCATGAGAGACACAGACTGGGAGAGAGAGGGAGAGACACAGGCAGAGGGAGAAGCAGGCTTCCCGCAAGGGGCCTGATGTGGGACTCGATTCCGGATCCCGGGACCACGACCTGAGTCAAAGGCAGGCGCCCAACTGCTGAGCCACCCAGGCATCCCATAAATAAATAAAAGCTTAAAAAACCACACACACACACAAACACACATCTAGCTGCAAGAGACCCACGTGACTATCTATTCTAGTTTAGATCACACTCTTGTAATTCCTGGTTCTTCTCCCCGATGGCATTTACTGCTGTTACAGTAAGTTATTCATATTCATCTTCTGTTTCATGCTGACCATTACACTAGAATTAAAAGCTCCAGGAGCATAGGAACATTATGGTCTCAGGGATCAATAAACGTTTTCTATAAAGGGCCAGATAGTAAATATTTGGGGCTTTAGATATGTGATCTCTTGCAACTACTCATGTCTGTTGTGGAAGCATGGAATTAGCTATTGACAATACATAAACAAATGAGCATGGCTGTGTTCTAATAAAACTTTATTCATAAAAAACAGTCACTGGGCCAGATTTGGCTTGTGAGTCATAGTCTGTCCACCTTGATCTATATATTAGTGACCACTGTGCTGACACTTTTCTAGCACTTACTATATGCTAGAAACTGATCTAAGTGCTTTCTATGTACCCATTTATTTAATGTTTCGTATGATCTCATGAGGCAGGTACTATCATTATGCCCACTTACAGATGAGACAGGCACTGAGAGTTCACGGTAACCTACCCAAACACACTTAGCCACTAAGTTAAATTTGTACCTAGGCAATCTGGCTCCAGAGTCTATGCTCTAAACCTTCTTACTTGGTGAATGAATGTATGAACAAATAAACCATAAAATGAGATTGGGCTATGAAGATCTTCAGAAAGTGTAAAATACTACAGAGGCTTGAATGTTGTTTCCGATTTCTTGCAGCAAATGTTCTCCTTCAGTTAGAACAGCAGCTTAACAAAGCAGGATGCTATGAGCAACCCCCCTCCCCCTGAGCCCTCACCCCCAGGTCTGCAGCGTCCAGGCCTTGGCTACCATGAGCAAGCCCAACCTGCTCATTTCTCTGTTGACATGTTCTCTTCTCAAGGGCGGTTTCAAAAGTGGGGAACCTGGGAAGTCATCCACCCCTACAATGGCACTTTTTGCTTAATCATCCTTACCTTTGTCCTAGCTCTGAATTTCTCCTTTCCTTGTTGAGAGGCAGAAAGTAAATGGGCTTAAGACATTGGGCTTTTGAGTCACATAGTACATATTCAAATCTGACTTCTTTAGCCTCAGTTTTTATGCCTGTAAAAGGCAGATAGGAACGGTACCTATCTCTTAAGATGGCTGTGATAATTCAATGAGTTTAAGAGTGTACTAAGCAGTTCATAGATGCCAGTGGTTGTCATTGTCATTCTTCTGGTACTCGAGACACAGGAAGACAATGTGGGGCAGTCAAAATAAGGTTATGAGGTCAGATGAAGCTAAATTCAAACTTTATGCCTGCTCCCTACCAGCTATATAACTTTATGTATACCATTTAATTCAAGGGATCACATGCTACTTAAATCTCCAGAAAATTTTAGAAAATTGGCATAAGGATAGCAAGCTTTTTTCCCCCCAATATAAAGACATTATTAATTTTTTAAAAAAATCTAACATGTGTTATCACTATTATTTAATGAATGAAAATACTCCCTCCAAAAAAACAAAAAAAGAGTAGGAAGGATATAATCTGCAAATAATAAACTCACAACAGCATCTTTGTTTCTTTTCACTCATTTCCAGCATTTGGAAATGGGTGGGCACCCTAAGCCTCATTTATCCCAGCAATAAAATGGAATAGTAATACACACATATGCATGTGTGCACTGAACTAGTTGTCAAGCTTGGCACAGAGTAGGGGCCGTGAGCCCCCTCTCCTGGCCTTTCTCTGGAGCTGGTTTTGCCTTTACTCCATCTCCCCCTACTCAGTTTCCTTCCTTCCTTTTTTGACCCCCTCTGGGAGCTGAGAGAGGGAGGGACCAGAAAGAGCCACTGCATCAGATCTCAAAGGACTTTATTGGGGAACGGGGAGGAGGGGGTGGTTGTTGACATGCTCAGGTTATGGCCTAGGTGGGAATGACTGAGAGGGAAGAGAAATTCATTCCATCCAGCTTGGTGTAGGGACTCCAGGGAAAGGGGCTGGTTTTCCATCCAGGTCTTTGAATGGTGTGCTCTCTGGCCAGGCAGGGAGTGGGCCCCAGCTGGAGGGCAAGGTCTGAGGGGGAGATTTTACTATCTCTGGAAACAAAAGGACTTTTGTGTGTCATGATATCTGGGTGTGGTGGGGTGGAGAGAGAGGAAATGGTTTATGGGAATGAAAATGAGATCCTCCAGGGATGTGGAGGAGAGAGAGACGGATAGGCTCAATGGAGTGATAAAAAGAGAAAAAGACAGACCCAGAAGACATTTCCCTTGGGCCAACTTTGATTTTGCACTCGCAGTCCTGGCCCTCAGAGAGGGTATGTCTGGGCCTGAGCTCTGACCTGGGTGCTGCTGGCACAAGCTGTGTAGCTATCAGTAGGTCACACCCCTCTGCTGAGCCTCAGTATACCCATCTGTAAAAGGGGAACCTGAGCCCTGGAGTAGCCCCAGTAACATGCAATGGGAATGGTCTGTCTACAAGTCAATTTCAATTATTTTTTTTTTTAAAAAGCTTGGACCTGAAATGTTCTCAACTCAGGGAGCAAACCACAAGTCCTCCACGTCTGGCTGTTAGTGGATGAAGGAAAGTGGGTTTCAGGCTAAAGATTGCTTAATAAATACCCTTCACTGGTTGGACAAAGACTTGTGGGTTTGGGACCTGAGAGTCATAAAACTGCTGTCACCCTACAGCTCCATCCAGCTCTGACTCTCTGAGCACCTAGTCATCGAAAAAGACAAGCCTCTTTCCCGGAAGCCAGAGAGAAGAAAGCTGTAAGAAGAAAGACAGAAGGCCAGGAGGTTATTTTTTTCTGGCACATGCTGGACATTTCGGGAATGGAAGGAACCAGGAAGGAAAAATTCAGATCGGTGGTGTGAGCCCAATAAAGTCCTTTAAAAAAACAATTATTCTTTCACCTGGTCTTTGGGGAAGAAGTCTTTGGGGGAGGGCCAGAGGCACCACCGGGGCCCAGGAAAAATTTAAAACCACAGAAGCCTATTGGATTTGAGTCCAGAGAAGCACATGTTGCTACTGCAGGTACCTTGGTAACTCGGAGGGCAAGCAGAACATGGCCTCCCCATCTTGTATGGTGCCTCGCCGATCCAGTTCCCCCTGGAAGAGAAAAGATGCCAAGGAGACAGGGACAGAGGAGAGTTAATGCGGGCAACCTTCATATAGGTTCCCAAATCTCAGCACCGCCACTGACTGGCTTTGTGACCTTGGGCAAGTCACATCTGCAAGCCTTGGTTTCTTCAACTGTAAAACCATGAGGAGACTCCCCTGCCTCACAGGGAGGAGGCAAAGATCAAATAATGAAGCCGTGTGTGTGGGCACCTAGCACCGTGCCTGGCAAATACCTGACACTTCAGTAAGTATTGATCTTCTTATTCCCTCCACCCTCCCTCCCATCCCCGACCCAGGCAGCTCTGAGATCTGGTCCTAGGTTTTGCCACCAGGTAGCTGGTGACAAAATAAGCCACCTTATTTCTTCTGAATAAAATAAATGAAATGGTATCCACAAAAATGATGTGCAAACACTTTAGACCTCACAGAAGTGTTGTGCAAATAGGAGTTAGAATAATCAGATGCTGAGTATAATCCGATCATGGGGGCACATGCTCATGAAGACTTGTCATGGCCACCACTGCCCATTTTCTTGATGGCCAGATCCCAATTCCATCCTCCCTGCTCCTGAGTTAGTCCTCTCAACAGACTGTGGCCTTTTAGGGGAAGTAGGGTAGAGAGTGATGGCTTAATAGTTACAGACCTTCTCTTTGGGGTGATGGAATAGTTCTGGAAGTAGGTAGTGGTAATGGTTGCACAAAATGATGAATTGCCACCGAGGTGTACCCTTCTAAATGATTAAAGTGGCAAATTTTATGTTATAAATATTTCATATCTATATGCATAATGAAAACAGATTAATAATCTAATATACCAAAACCCATTGAGTTGTACACATCAAATGGGTGAGTGGTATGGGATGTGAATTACACCTCAAGAAAGCTATTAAAAACAAACAAACCACCTTCATCACATTCTCCTGCTCAAAAACGTTTAGTGGCTTCCCCTTACCTGTGCAAGGATTGGCAAATTTCTTCAGGTAAAGGGCCAGATAGCAAACATGTTAGGTTTTGTGAGCAGGATATCTCTATTGCATTGAAAGCAGCATCAGATAACATGTAAATGAATGGCATGGCTGTGTTTCAATAAAACTTTATTTACTAAAACAAGCAGCTGGTGAGGTTTTGGCCATGGGTCCTAGTTTGCTGATCTCCCCACTTACAGAAGCACATCTGTAGCTTTTGGTCAGACATTCTAGACTGCTCTAGCAGCCGTGGATCCTGTTCACATAGCCCACCTTTCCACATCTCTCTTCTCTGTCCCAGTGCACAGATTTTTCTTTTTCTCCCTCCTCTTCTCAAGGCCTAAAATCATCCCCCAAACTCATGTTCATGGCTGCCTGGTAATCTCACCACCAGCCTGTAGTGTTAATCTTTGCAAGTCCAGGGTCTTCTTTTCTCACACTTCATATGAACACTCTTTATGGGCAGATATGGAATCTTTTTTTTTTTCTCTAAAAGTGGTTGTTGAGTGATTGTAAGTAACCTCAGCCAAAGTCCTTAGAAAAGTATGCATTTCTGGTTTTATATGGGGCTCATTCACTTATTCATTCAACAAACACTTCCAGAGCATGGAATTCAGGCTTCAGGATTTGTGCCAGATGCTGTGAGTGCAGTTTTCAAAAGGTGCTCCCAGATATTTGAGGGCAGGGAAGATGGGAAGTGGAAATATCTGGGGGGTAATGGAATAAAAGTCATTCTTTTTTTTGTTCAACTTAACCACTTGGAAAAAAGTTTTGCTTAAAAAGGGGGGGGGGAGATCCCTGTAGTAAAAGGATATAGGAATGAATCAGATCTATTTCCCACCCTTAAATAGTTCCTAACCCAGTTATAACAACAGCCACCATTTATTCAGCACGTACTATGGGCTGAATAAATAAATGTACATTGACTATGTACAGTGATCCTCTGTGAGACAGGTAGGATTAGCCCTATTTTAAAAGAGGAAACCGAGGTCCAGAGAGATGAAACGTCTTCTCCAAAGTCCTTATATGCACATGGGAGAGCTGGACATCACACCCAGATCTGGTCATAGCAGTAAGCAACAGCATGTTATCATGAGCCTGGGGGTGTTACCTGGGTCAGATCACTTCTCTTAATTCAGTGAGTAGGTACTATTTTATTCCCATTTTGCAAATGAAGAAACAGGCATGAAGAATTTAAATCACAAATTTGAACCTTAACAGTCTTGCTCCAGAGCATGAAAATCTTAACAACTATAGTGTTGATACTCAATGCTGCAAAAATTCAATGTATCCTCAAATTGGAACAGCCTAGTAAGCTATTTGTAACAAAACTTGCTTTGTATTTTTGTATCTGATAAAGCTGGGCTGATACTTTTTAATAGATATCACCATTAACAAATAAATAGGGATCCCTGGGTGGTGCAGCGGTTTGGCGCCTGCCTTTGGCCCAGGGCGTGATCCTAGAGACCCGGGATCGAATCCCACGTCGGGCTCCCGGTGCATGGAGCCTGCTTTTCCCTCTGCCTATGTCTCTGCCTCTCATTCTCTCTCTCTCTCTGTGTGTGAATATCATAAAAAGTAAATAAATAAATAAATAAATAAATAAATAAATAAATAAATAAATAAATAAATAGCTTGAGAATTTGTGTTCAAGCTACCAGTGACTTCTAGAGCATTCGAATAGTATAGTAGACAGAACATAGACTAGAAATCAAGACTTGTGTTTCAAACAGTTCTGCTACCTCCTGGCTCTGTGACTTTTATATATTACCTAACCTCTCTGATCGTTTCTTGCTCTTAAAAAAAGAAAACATTTTCCCAGTACCCCTCCTTCTTTCCTTCCTTTCTCTTTCATCTCTCCAATGAGATAAGGAGGCAAAAATATTTTGGAAGTGCTGAAAGGCTACTTGAGAGTAAAAGGTGGTTATCAGTATGTAATCTTGAAATTCTAAATATCAGGTTTACATAGAACTTTTCTTATTTTTATATGAGAATCAGTAATGTTGGCAAATTTGTGTGTTGTATGTTGGATGGGAACTCCCATCCCTCTTTCTCCATGTTTCCAAGAGACTTGCATACAAAGGCCACTCATGACCTCTCTCCCACCAAGCTGATTGGGGAGCCTGGAGGGAGGAGCTGAGCACACTCATTCTATCCTTCCTTTCTTTCCTTTGGGATGTGCCTGGCTGCAGGGAGCCTGTGTTCTTGGTTGCCCCACTTTCTGTGATGAGCTTAGAGGAGCTACCTACACTTGTTGGGAGAGGACTGTGGTTGTCAGGTGTTGCCGGTCAATGGGTGTGCAGCTCTAATTCGAGAGCGAGATATTTGCCAACTCGCTTGTCTAGCACATCTAAACCACATTCTCTACTGTTAACTTCATCAGCGAGGCTACGTGTCCACCTGACCTGGTCCTGTCTATCTTCCAGTCACTTTTGGCAATAGAAAAGGAAATTAAAGAATTTGAGGGGGGGGGTAGTAAAGAAAAAGAATGATTCATTGACTCTAAAACTACCAGATTGTGGGATGCCTGAGTGGCTCAGTGTTTGAGCACCTGCCTTTGACTCAGGGCGTGATCCCGGATTCGAGTCCCACGTTGGGGTCCTTGCATAGAGCCTGCTTCTCCCTCTGCCTGTGTCTCTGCCTCTCTCTCTCTGTGTCTCTCGTGAATGAATGAATGAATAAATAAATAAATAAATATTTAAAAAAAAACAGATTGTATGGTATCGAGTTTACTTAGAAGGGAAGAAGGCAGGGTGTCCTGGGCTTTTTTCCTTCTCTTGGAATTCTGTTCATTGCACTCAGGGTCCACCCCTGCCCCTCAGCCCTGTCTCAGTGCTGTACTTACTTAATGGCATAGTTGCAGACCAAGTACACTGCCTGATGCCAGGTGTTGCCCCAGACGTTGATACTGCCACAGGTGTGGATGGCACAGCCTAGCCGATTGGAGGAAGCCCACACCATCTGAGGAAGGACAATGACAGGGGAGGCTTTGAGATGGACTCGGGATGGGGGCCCAGGTTCCTTGGGGCTGAGAGGCTCCTGGACATGGTTCAGGGTGGATGCATTAGGTGAGGTCTTCCCGGGGGGAGGCAATCTGCCTGTCCCAATGTTCCTGGAGACACATTGTGCTATAATGTTTCTCAAGCTTTTTTTTTTTTTTTTAATTTATTTTACTACAACCCACCAGTAAGGAATAAATTTGAATTGTTACTCAGCATACAACACGTAGGCACTTGGGACAAAAGTTTTGTGAACCAACATTTAATCTTTTCACATGTGATCTATGCTCTTATTTTCTGTACTGTTCTATTCATTTTCTTTCTTTCTTTTTTCCCTAGCAACTACCATTTGAAGATCATTATTGTGTTAGAGGTTAAAACACAAACTTTGGAGTTAAACAGGCTTGGGTCAGAACCTCAATATCACTAGTGTGTGACTTTGGCCAAGTCACTTAACCATGCCGTGCCTCAGTGTCTTCTTTGGTAAAACGAAGGTAATAATTTCAGGAAGAACATTTGGTCTAGGCCTCACATTTCCTAGAGGGTCTCCAATGTAGATTTCTGACATTAACTCTGAATGAATCACAGAGAGAAGGAGAGACCAAAAGAAAATATTTGTCCTACAATGGGAAGGTTTGGTCCCATTTCCTGCAACATTATATCGTATTATATTTTTATGTGTAACAAGTGGTAACACATTCAATATTAGTACTCAAAATATACTACAGAAAAAAAAAACAAAAACAAAATATACTACAGTTTTTGTTCTCTTATTTTAGCATTTCTTTTCTTCTTCTTTTTTTTTTTTAAGATACTGGGATCCTAGGGGTACCTGAGTGGCTCAGCTGATTAAGCATTCAACTCTTTTTTTCTTTAAGATTTTATATTTTATTTATTTGAGGGAGTGAGAGTGAGAGAGCTCACATGCAGGGGTGAGGGGCAAAGGGAGAAGCAGACTCCCCGCTGAACCCCTGTGGGGCTTGATCCCAGGATCCCAGGATCCCAGCCTAAGCCAAAAGCAGGTGCCTAGCTGACTGAGCCACCCAGGCATTCAAGTGTTTGAGTCTTGATCTCAGCTCGGATCTTGATCTCAGGGTTGTGAGTTCAGGCCCTGTGTTGGGCTCCACGCTAGGTGTGGAACCTACTTAAAAAATTATAATAAGAAGTAAAAGGAGGAGAAGAAGATAGTAGGATCCTTAGAAGACAGAAAATACTAGAAAATAGGTTTGGACCTACTGAATTCAAAAGCATTCTTGAACTTGTCAGATCACACATCTCCATTTTGGTGGTCAAACAATCTGGTGAGCCCACCCAAGACACTCAGAACAAGATCTGGTCAGCTCAACTCAATATACACACAACTTTCTAGGAATACACTTATCATATGGAAGGAAGTCCATAGGGCCTGTATGTTCTATAATTTCTGTTCCATCACATTCTTTTTCTTCTAAGCTACCAGGATTTGTTCTCCCTCAGCCCTCAGTCCCAACAAAGCGGTACCTGGGTATAGTGGGAGCAGACAGGGCCACTGCACCGCCAGGGGCAGTGAGGCTGACAGTCCCTGGGGGCCGGAAATGAGTAATGGCGCCTTTCCTCAGACCAAGACTTCACGAGATCCACCACCGAGCGGTACCTGGGGAGGCAGAGAAGATGGAAGACACTGGCTGGGGAACGGAGAAGCTGCTCTGCCACCACCTTGCTTGGGGACTTTGTTGAGGGACCAAGAGAAGGAAGGGCAGAAGGTCACTCACCGGCCAGAATGGATGGAGAGGTTCTGGCCCACGTATCTCATCAGCTGTGAGGGCCCATGGGCCCAGATGCACTGGGTGGCCCAGGCCTCGGCAGACCTGGCCAGCCGCTCGTCCCAGACCTGGGGAAAGAAAGGCCATGAAATTCCCCAGGAGGGACATCACCAACATCCCAGCAGTATCCAAAGATGCACATTTCCCTGGTGCCACTAACTCCATCTCTTCGGAACCCTGCACCAAATCCACTCGACAAATTAGGAAACTGAGTCAGAGACAGCAAGTCCTCACCAGAGCCAAGACCCACACCCAGACCTCTGACTCCTCTTCCAGCAACCTTCCCCCTCCACAACTGGACTTCAAGCTGGAGGTTCTCTGCTCTGAGCAGGTCCGGGGCTATTTGCCCAGGAGTTAGTCCCTACAAGTGGCTGAGCCCAGGGTGATGGGGACGGAACTGGCTTTTTATTTTATTTATTGTATTCTTAAAACATATTTATTTTAACATTAAATATTCAAATTCAAAATGTTTTTTTCTGCAGAGTGAAAACATGCACAAACATAATATATGAGATGCCCAAAGGAGGAAAAGTGTAAAGTCTCTCATCTCAATCCTATACTTGTTCCTCTAGCCATCCTGCTCCTTAGAGGCAACCATCACTGTGATTCCTGGCATCCTCTTCCAGAAATATTCTATACCTGTACAAGTATATATATATACACAAGTGTGTATATATATATACTATTAATAAATATATATAATTGTATATAAGTATATATAAAATATTTATATATTCATATATATATTATACACACACACACACACACACACACAAATGACAGCTGGCCAAACTGTCTATCTGACCCCTTGCTGTTTTCACTCAATCAAACAGGTTATCTTATCTTAGTGGTTATCCACATCAGCACATAGAGAATGCCCTCCTCATCTCTCCTAACAGCTTCATAATTTTCCAATGTGTGAATGCCCCAAGTTTTATAATTTGAAAAAGCATCACTTTAAAAAAATACCAATTTCCTTCCACTCTGACTTCCTGGGATTTTCAGAGATATGAGTCATGCATTCATTTTATTTGTTCATTCAGCAAATATTGAACAGTATTTCTAGGCACCCAGGACTCACAGTCTAGTAAAGATGAGACATTAAGCAATCATTACAATCCTGGTGGGTGTGAAAATGTGAAACAGGGGACTGGAACTTTTGGGGACGCTGTGGGAGAAAAAGGGCTCCTTGAGCAAAGGGTACTTTAGTCAGATGCCTGTCCTGCAGGCAGAAGCCAGCTAGCCAAGAAGACACAGGGATACCAAGCAACAGGTCCAAACATGTCCTCAGGGTTGTCCGATTCACAGTCTTAGGAAAAGCAAAGGAATATTTTCTTTATGCAACAAAGGGGTAAACTGAGGCAAGGGGTATGCTAACATCAAATCCACATTCATTGACCCTACTGGGATCCATGGTGAGATATTTAACGCTCTCTGTTCTACCACACATATGATAATTAAACACTTATTAGGATGAGTGCCTTGCATGCACAGTAAATGTGTCACTGTTTGAAAAATGAAGGACCTTCCACGTGCCAGTCACTGTGCCAATAAATGAATGAGTCTTTCAATGAACAAATTAATAACCCCCACCTCCAGCTGCCTGCCATCCTGGCTCCTATCCCCGCCCCTCTCCAACATCTAATTCCTACTTGACATTATGTTACCCATATCTTAACACCTTATTCCTGTTTGACATTCTATTACCCATATCTTGTGTTGTGGATATTTGTTTTCTATCGTGTCCCTGAAGGAAGACACTTGTCCATCCTGTTCTCAGCAGTGTCCACAGAGCCAGTGTACCTGGCTCTGAGCAGCAGCTAGCACACAAGTGAATAGACACATTGTAAAAGCATAGGAATTTTCAGGCTGTAGCATGTATTTGTCTTGGAGGGGGGGTGGACTGGCAACCTCTTTCCCTAAAGAAATCTGTGGGTGGGCTAGAAGCCTATCTCTCCAGGTTGGTCTGGGACAAAGGTTCTAGGGGAGGAACTGCGATAAAGAGAAAGGTCCCCTCCTCCATGCCAGAGTCTGACTTCTGGGGGATTGGGGTGACAGCCACTGGCCCTGCCTCTTTAAGGAAACACATCTCAGCTTTTTCAGCTGGTCACTTGCAGGTTTTCCTCTGCTTGAGACCTTCAGGTGCCAGTCCCCACCACCTGTCCCCAAACTCTGCCTCCTAGAGGCAATCATCACTGTGATAACTGGCATCCTCTTCCTGTCTGTGTGTCCATCAGACCCTAAAGCAAAGAGACAATTGCACAGAAAGCTCCAGCCACCTACCCTGCAGGTCTCTAGCAGGAAGCCCAAACCCTGGGGTGGAGTATTCTGTCTGTTAAGACCACAATCTTAGTGTATGAAGCAAGCACTAAGACCACAATCATTAGCAGCAGGCAGACCTGGGTTAGAATCCCAGTTGGATGACCTTTGGCAAATTAATTCTCTGTATCTCAATTTCTTTATTGGAAAATGGAGATGATAATCCCCATCTTGAAGGAAGAGGAGTCCCCTCAGAGTTGAGTGTAGGTTATGGGTAGGCACACAGTAGGTGCTCCATACGTAGCAGTTAGCTGACCCTACTTCCCAAGAGGACCTGTGCAACTGCTTTAGTTTTCTCATCCATTAAATGGGTAGATCAATTCCTGCCCTTTCCTCAGGACACAGACCCCCCAGATGCTGGCCGGTGGGGCCAGGCTGGCGAATGGTCCAGCCCTTCCAGAACACACTGGGTTGACCGGCAGTTGCTGGAAAGGGCACAGGGGAGGGCATGGGAACTCACCATATACTCCATGTTGGCCGCAGGTGGGTGTACACTGGCCCGGATGTGGTTGTGATAATCCAGTAAGGCACTCATGTCCCCAGCAGAGATGTGGCGTTTCCGCCGGTACCGGGGCACCCCCAGGCCACTCAGAGGCCACACAGCTGTGCCCTCGGTCTGGGCCAATGCCAGGGTGGCATTGGGCATCAAGGCATTCACTGTCTGGCCTGCCCAGAAGAGTAGGCCTGCCAGGCCCATGGTGCTGGGCAGCAGGGGCATAGCTGGCTGGAAGGGTCACACGTCACCTGGTGCAGTCAGAGTCAGCTGCCTGGAGGGGGTGGGCATGAGGGCACCAAACCCTGAGTGTTCTCCAGCACTGCCACCCCGAGGATGCCAACCCCTGGGAACTTGGCAAAGATCTCCCGACTCAGCTCTAGTCCTGGTGCCCAACACCCTGTCCTTCCTGCCCCAGTGGACTCAGTGTATTGAGGGATGGAAGGAAATGCCCGGATGGTAGCTAATCCTGATCGGGCCATGGGATGCAGATGGCACTACCACTTCAAAGCCAGGGCTCCATCCCACCAGTCCAGGAGACGGACACCAGTCCTCTCCAGCCTGGACACCCTCTTCACCAATCCTGCCCCAAGTGGGCTCCATCGATGCCCTCAGCAGTGCAGGGCCAACAGTCCCCGGGGCATCATGCTGCGGGACCCTCTCGTCTTTGAGGTGCTGCATTTTTGAGGTTGAGAGTGAGACACAGGAAGAACCAGACGGCAGAGGATGAGAGAGGAAGAGAAAAAGAGAAGCAGAGAGGAAGAAAATGAGAGAGACCAAAAAAGCATCTGGAAAAAAAAAAGGCACAGAGAACAGGGATGAAGGACATTGGAAGGTGGAAAGATAAGGCGCGGATGGGAGACGGTGAGGAGGGAAAGAGAAAGGGCATGGGAGAGACAGAAGCAGAGGGAAGGAGAGAGAAAGACAGGGGAAAAGACAGAGGGACAGAGAGATGGAGTTAAGGAGAAGAGAGCCAGAGAGGGGAGCGCGGGAGACCGGGCGGCAGCCTCCCAGGGGCGCGTACCCAGGCCGGGCAGCCCAGGCGGGTGGCAGCAGGCGCCGAGGACGCAGGGACCTCTGTAGACACCCTGGCCCGCCTGGCAGCTCGGCGACTTTAATGGTCCCCTGGGAGCTGATGGCATCTGACGTCCGGGCCCGCAGCCCCCTCCCCTTCCAGCCGGGCCAGACTGGGACAGGAGGCTCCGCCTGCCCGGTTGTGGGCTTTTCCCTCCCTCCTCTGGCGCCTGGGCTGTTCCTGCTTCCACCGGGTGTCGGGTGTCGGGGGCTGGGGCCGAGCTGCTGCTCCGGGTGGGGATGGGACAGTGGCAGGGACTCCGGGGGGAAATGCCTCCCCTCACCTCGGACACCCCAGATGCGGAGGCTTTTCTTTGCCTTCCAGACCCCAGCACTGGGGAGAGTATTCTCGGACTGCTTTCCCTACAAAGCTGTCCAGCCTCAGAGCAGGCAATTAACTTGACCCCGCCTGATGAGCACCTACTATGTGCCAGGCCTGGGCTGAGTGCTTTGAGCATACAAGCTCAGCCAGCCCTGAGAAGCAGATACTATAGCTCCCCATTTCACAGATGAAGAAACTGAGCCTGAGAGGTGAAGGGACACACCCCAAGTCAAGTCAGGGTGTCTGCGATTCAAATTCAAGTGTGACCCCAGGACCCTGTTAGTATGTAAAAAGGATGCTACTTTTGTAACCAAACCAATATCAATGCAAAGGGGAAAAGCCTAGGAGGGTATTGACCACCATGCTGCTCTAACATAGCATTAGGCAGCTTCATTTATTAAGCGACGGCTCTGGGTTCAAGTCCTCATTATTTCACTCACTAACTGGATGTCCTTGAGCAAGTCAGTCAATCATTTTGTACCTCATCTGTAAAATAGGGGTAGTGATGGTACTTACCTTATAGCATTGTCATGAGGATTGCACAACTCTTGTGGAGCACTTAGAACTGTGCCAGGCACACAAGTGTGTTCTCCATTAAGTGTGTATGAGTGTGTGTGTGTGTGTGTGTGTGTTCTCCTACAGATACATGCATAAGCAAGCAGATGTCTATACGTGTGTGTGTGTGTGTGTGTGTGTGTGTGTGTATTATCAAAGCCCCTTTGGTCTCCAAGCAGCTGTAATTATAGGTTAAGAAAGAGTTAAAAAAAAAAGAAAGAAAAGAAAAGAAAGAATTTAATTTCTCTTCTCTGATTACTTGTATTCCTCACAAAGAACAAGCAATATTTCCGTAATGGAGGGGGTAGACTTACAAGAAAGATGTTATAGAAAAAAAACAAAGTCAAAGCATTTGGAAGCCTTCAGCCTTCTCTTCCAGGGACTTCTGAGAATTCCCAGGCGGTCTTCAGGTGCCAGTCTGAGCCAGGTGGCAGCGAAGGGCTGTGGGCTGGGGTTCTCCTCAGACACATGGAATTCCCAGCCTAGGCAGCCACCCGGCCTCAGCCTCCGGGCCCAGACAGTGCCTGCTGCCAAAGCACACACCTTCCTGCTGGACGCCGGGGGAGTGGGGCAGGCAGAGGCAGGGAGGGATGGGGGTGCTGACCCTGACCTGGACAGGCCCTTACCACCACGCCAGAAGGACGAGGGAGCTTGGCTCCGATCTAGCCCTGTCCCTGCCTCCAGAGTGCTGGATGTCCTGAGGTAAGGCCCTGTCCTTCTCTGGGCCTCAGATGTCCCATGAGAGAAACTGGACTAAGAGCTTATGTGCCTGTGGCAGGCTGGGGCCTGTGGCACCCAGAGGGAATTCTGCAGCTGCCGGGAGGCACATGCAGTCTTGGCACTTACCCAGGAGTGCCAGCAATTGCACCCTACTCTGTCAGCATGCTCCACGGAACTTCTCCCGTGTCACAGGCCCTTGCACGGGTATGGAGCTTCAACATCCATGACTCCATGGTTTTCATGGCTGCCTTTGAGGTAATAACCCCACCCATTGCACAGCTGGGGATATTGAGGTGCACAGAGCCTCAATGACTTGTCTTAGGGCCAGGAGCTTCTTTGTGTGGATCTTTAATCCTGTAAAACACATATGTTGGACATATCTGCTCCTATCTCGGTGCCCAGAACTATTTTAAGCAGTTACCTGGATGAGCTCATTGAATCTTCAGGAAAAGCCTATCAGGTTGGTACCATTACTGTCATCATATCAATTTTTATATACAGGAGGAAAATAAGGAACAAAACAGTGAGTCGTTTGGTGGGGTCACAGGTCCAGTGGGTGGCACAGATGGGATGGGCTCCCAGGCAGGCTGGCCATGCTGCCTCTGCCCAGAGACAGACAGACAGCTCCACACACAAAATCCTCATCTCCTACTGCACATGTTCACATCCACAGAGACCCAGGTGATTGCCCTGGGCAAGCACCCTGCATCACCCCCTGGCTGCTGCCCCAGGTGGGACCTTCTCTGCTGTCCTCATTGTCTAAACCTGTTCCCAGGTTCCCTTTGGCAAATTCAAAATGGTAGGGGTGAGGCAGGAAATAACCAGGGATGGTTCAGATTAATGCCCTGAGCCGGGATCTCATTTTAGAGTAAGAATACCTCCTCCCTTCTGGATTTTATCACGCTGGATTCAGCTATCCTCACCCCTCTTGGAATTCCCTCTGGACTTGGGCAAGCAAAGGGGAATTCTTCTAGAGAGTAGTAATATTTGAGGCAAGATAGCTCAGTGGCTAGCAGAGTAGCTTTGGATCTAGACAGCCTAGGTTCATGACTATCTGTGTGACTCTGGGCAAGTTACCTAACCATTCTGTACCTTAATTTCCTCATCTAGAAAATGAGGCTGCCTCATGGCATTGTTGGGAGGCTTAAATGAGTTAATACATCTTAAGACATTTGACACGGTGCCTGGCACAGAGTAAGCAGTCAATATATGTTAACCTTAACAAGAGCCAACAACAATAGCAGTAACAGTCAGCGATTGTTTAGCACATGCTAGGTGCCGGGCACTAAATGATTCAAGGGCATGATCGTATGTAAGCCGTGGTCTGGTTTCCTGCACTGGGTACCAGAATCCCCATCCTGTAGATGAGGAAGCGAAAACTCAGAGAGGTTAATTAATTGTCCCACGTTCACAGGGGTAGTCCCAGTGGAAGCTGGATCCCAGAGCCAGGTCTCTCTGATCCTCACACTGTCAAGTTGCTTTTGAGCAGAGACTGTAGGACAAAAGCCTGGTGTTTGAAGGAGGAGACTGAGAAAGCTGGAAACTTTAAAGAGTGTCTAGGTTACCCTCTCTGCCAATTGAAGAAACAGATTCAGAGTGATTTGTCGGGATGCCTGCGTGGCTCAGCGGTTAAGCATCTGCCTTTGGCTCAGGGCCTGATCCCTGATTCCCATCGATTCCCAGGATCGAGTCCCACATCCGGCTCCTTGAATGGAGCCTGCTTCTCCTCCCTCTGCCTGTGTCTCTGCCTCTCTTTGTGTCTCTCATGAATAAATAAATAAAATCTTAAAAAAAAAAAAGAGGTGACTTGTCTAAGGTCACATAGCAACTGGCAGACTGGGGACTGGAACCCAGATCTGCATCACTCCAAATCCAAGGAGGAGAGAGAGGGAGCTGGGGGTGGGGGAGCACAAATGAAAAGTAAGTGATGGCACCCAGACTTTTCAAAACTCTCCAGGTCAAATGTTCCAGATTCTTCCAGAAGTTAAACTAGGAAAATGCAAGAAATGAAGAGGGAATCAGTAGAGACTTAAAAGATACATATTTTTTTTTATACAGACAAGACTAAACTATAGGGTTTAGGGATGTGTACTTGGGCAATAAAACTAAAGAAATACAAAGAAATACTGTAAAAGTCAGGCTGTTATCAGGGTGGGACATCTGAGCGGCTCCTTTTTTTTTTTTTTTTTTTAGAGGGAGAGTGGTGGGGAGGGGCAGAGAGAGAATCTTAAGCAGGCTCCATGTCTGAGGTAGAGCCGCCCCCCCCCGCCCATGCAGAGCCCCCTGATGCAAAGCCCCCGACCCCCGAAGCAGAGCCTCTGGGTACAGAGCCCCATCTCACAAACCTGAGATCATGACCCAAGCTGAAATCAAGAACCAATTGCTTAACTGACTGAGGAACCCAGGCACCCCAAGAGGCTCCTATTTCTTGATCTGACTTGTGGTTACAAGTGATTTGCCTTATGGGGTCCCCATTTGTTTTGTGTGACTTTCTGTACTTTTTAAATTTTACAAAGGCTTTTTAAGAAATAACAGTAGTCATTTTTACAGTGAC